ATGCATGCACACACCCCCACCCCCCGACTCCTGGCCATGGGGTACCAGCATAGGCCCTGTGCTCCTGCGGTCCTGCCATGCAGCTGGGAGCCGTGTGGTGCAGGAGCAGCCAGCAGGCAAGCACTGAAAGTGGCAGCAAACAGGGGGAAGTAGGACCCAGCAGGCACGCAGCAAAAGCTGGGTGGGAATGTGAAGCCTGCACTCGTGTCCTGGGACCAGCGCCAGTGGGGCCCAGACTGGGGTGGCAGGAGCTCTATGGAGCTAAGCTGGCTCCCCTCTCTCCCTGCTGGTGCAGCCCAGCCTGGCTCCATAAATCCCTGCCAGCCCATGCCGCACTGCTCCGCTCTGGGCCCCACTGGCACTGGCCCCAGGACACCAGCGCGGCCCCACATTCCTGCCTGGCTGTCACTGCACTCCCATGCATCTGCTCGCTCCCACTCCCCCCCAACTGCCACTTTCCCACTTTCCTGCCTGCTGCCATGGCACTCTGGCACCATGTGGTTCCCGGCTGCATGGCTGCGACCGCAGGACTCGGCAGGAGCCAGTTTGGCCCTGAGGGCTGGGGCGATTGCCCGTGGTCCTCCCCTGCCTCCCTCCTCCCCCCACATTCTTATCTGAATTTCCCTCTCCAGTGTAGGGAGGTAGGAACAGCCCCATGGTCACAGGCCAGAAGCCTCTGCTAGGCAGGGGCTTCTGGTTGGGAGGAGTGGGGTTGGGGAAGCTGGGGAGTCAGGGCCATGTGGGCCTTGCTGCTGCCAGTTTCCCCTGGGTCCTACTGCCCCTGGTTCCTGTCATGTTTGACAGGCAGCCAGGAACAGATAAATATAAATTTTCTAAATTTTTAGGGGCCTCTAGGGCCACATAGAATGGCCTGGTGGTCCGTATTTTGCCCACCCCTGTATTACATGGATACAGGCCACAGGTATAACTGGTAGTTTATGCCCTGGGCAGCAGACTCATACCTGACAGGGTCTGTATCCTGAGATGCTGGAATAGAGGAAAGAAGACTTGAGGCTTTGGCTACCTGGAGCAGACTGGGACCAGGACGGTACTGAAAAAAAGAGGTGTTGTCACCAGTCACCAGGTTAACTATCTGCTAACCCCACAACCACTGCAATTGTATATGCCAAGTGAGGATCCAAAGCTCTTGATTCAGCAACTGCAGAGCCAGGGATCTTCTATGTGCTACCTGATATCTCCCCTCTCAGAAGTGGCATCTCCCACAGGAGGGGTGGCAGAGGGGAGGCTGATGAGGGGACTCCTAACTCTACCCCACTCCATGCAGCCAGAGCCTCAAGCCCACGGCCTTCATTCCAGCGCTCCACTTTTCTGAGCACCTAGGGCTCATGCCCCAATTGCCAACCTTTAGTTAGGCTACTGTATTAGGCATCTAAGTAGACACAGGCACCTAAGGCTTCAGGCTGGACATAAGGAAGAACTTCTTTACAGTCCGAGCCCCCAAGGCCTGGAACAGATGCCGCCAGAGGTGGTGCAAGCACCTACTCTGGATTTCTTTAAGAGTCAATTAGACATTTATCTTGCTGGGATCCTGTGACCCCAGCTGACTTCCTGCCCCTGAGGTAGGGGGCTGGACTCAATGATCTTTCAAGGTCCCTTCCAGCCCTAATATCTATGAAGTCTCTGAAGGTCAATTCTATTTCATACTTTTCAAGTCATGAAAGATCTGGTAATGAATCAATCCATCATCATCTGACCCTTAAGATCGAGTCACAAAAAAAACAGTGAGGAGTTGGCGAAGCCACTCACCATTTACTTTTTTTCAGGGTGGAATAGAATCATGCTGGTTGTATTCCTGCATAGCAGCTGATTTTAATGAGAGATTACATTTCTTTTTTTTTTTCAGCAACTTAACTCCTTCATTGTTAAATTCCTTCAGAGTTGTTGGCAGTAACCACCAGACCCTGGTGATTTGTTTCTGTTTAATTTATCCATTTCTATACCACCTCATGCTTTGATAGCATCTCATCTTTATTTTCCATGCCATCTTCTTGATTGATGGGACGAAATCATCTATCTTCTCTGGACATCTACTAAATTCACTGATTCCCTTACAAGCTCTACTACATCTGAGAACTGGAAATGATCTCTTATTACTTGATATTTTAATTACTATGGCTTGTCTTCTTTAAATAGTAACTCTTCTTGTGTCAGTAGAACTAGCTTTTCCAAGAAACTATCACTTAAAGTATCAAGAAATTGCTTCTCTAAATCTTGTCTGATTGTGACATCTTACCATTTGATATGGGAATAGCCACCCATTATTACTACTTTATTAGACTTAACTGCTTCTTTGGTTGCCCTCAACACTCAGAATAAGTTGGACTTGGTATCCTCTCCAGAAGCAAGAGGCCACATCTAATTCTACTGGCATTTTTATATTCTTATGATTTTGGGGACAGATTATCCCAGAGTTTTCTGTATGGCTCTGTCCCCTCGCAAGATTTGCCTCACTAGCTTCTTTGGAATCTTTTCAGAACACAGCTGCTCCCCATTATGGCTAAACCTATCCTTTTAGTAAAATTTAAAGTCGAGTCTTAAAACACTGTGGGCACATCCAGACAAGCAAGCACGTGCCTGTTGTGACATCTCAGATCAGTTTGAGATGCTGCAAGAGGCACTCAAAGAACAAAAAAAAGTTTCCTGCACTGCATATTTGCAGTGTGGACTGTAAATTTGGCACCAGGAAATCCTGGTATTAAAAACACACACAGAAAAAAAGCTGCACAGGGCACGCCCTGAAGCAACCGGAGGCTGAGTCCTTCAGAGAGATGTTCTGGAACCCAGCCAGAGCATCTCTACCGCTACTCCGTGCCCCTGCTTCCCCAGCATGCTGCCTGTGTGCTGGAGCAAATAGGAGCAAGGTGAAGCTGCAGCAGTAGCTCAGACCCAAGCAAGCAGAGACATGGGGTAAGAGGACTGTGTGGTTTCTGGGGGGTGGCGTTTCATTTTAATCATGGAAGAACGTGGATTTTGCGGTATTTTAAAGAGTGAATTTTAAAGAGTGAATTTGGGACTTTTTAATCGGAGAATTTGCAATTTTTAAACAGGGAACACCAGGGTTTCTGCTAGTGAGGTAAGCGGTGGGACCCAAGCAGGAGCCTGCCCAAGGCTGGCACCAGAGACCCAGCTGGAAGACAAATGAGATGGCTGACCTCCTGGCCATTTGAAAGGTGCTTTGACAGCTTAAAGCAAGCCACCACAATGAGCACATCTTCCAGGTGATAGTTGCCTAGATGGCAGGGCAGGAGCACACATGGCAGCAATGCCACACAAAGGCCAACTGTGAAGCCGCAGCCCACTGACAGCTGGCCCAGAGGTGCAGACAGCTCTGCTACAGTGCCTATACCCACAGCCCAGGTGGTCATGCGGTCCCTGTCCAGGTCTGGCAGGCATGGGGCTACAGGTCCAAGGGGGTGGATGCTGTCACTGGTGGCAGCAGATCACAGCCAGGCAGCAGCCCCTACTGTCAGACTGCTGCAGCAGGTAGAGGGTGCAAGGGCCACTCTAGGTCAGGGCTGCTTCAGCAGTCCAGCTGGCAGAAGGGGATAATGCACCCATACACCAACTGGCCGGGCCTGAAAAGCTCCTGAAAGCAAGTAGGTGCCAGCACAAGTGCTGCCCCAGCCTTCAGCTCTCCCTGGCTGCAAATCCAGGAGGAGCTGGGCAGAATCAGAAGTGGCACAATTTGCCCCACACCAAAGAGCATGGTCAGGCACATGTGCTGAGGCACAAATCTGTGGCACAAATTTGTGCTACTGCTATTTGAGCTGCTTCAAGTGCACGTGCCTGCATGTGTGGACATGCCTATGGGTGCATCTACAAGGTGACACAACAAACTACGGAGCAATTCAAGTGGAGTCAACTGCTCCCAGGTGCAGCATCTATGTGCGCGCCCAGGACAGCAGCAATTTGAGCCTGGGTGGAGCAAGCCCCCAGCTGGCTGGGCTGACTGGGCATAATTTATACCCCCTGTCACTGTCTACAGCTATGTTTTAGAGCAGTAAAGTACCCTGCCAGAAGACAGTACTATCCCCAATAATACTATCCTATCGTGAAGTTAATTTACTGTTTTCTAATACCAGCACGTGTAGACTGTGACACTTTACTGCAGAGCAAATTAGTCTACTCCACAGTAAAGTGCATGTGTAGATGCACCCACAATTACCGCTGTCTCCTCCCATCAATAGTGCCTGATTTGAGGCAAGTCTCTTGAGCTTTAATACAGATGTTTATCATTATCTTTGTTGCCATGAGTGATTTTTTTCTTTATATAGCCACTTTAGCAAATACATTAATCTCTGAAGAGAGAAACAAAGTATTTCTGATCTCAGCCGTTTCCTGACCCAATCCTTCCGTAGCCTGGCCTTTGCAGAGATCTTTGTCCACTCTAATTGTACCCTGCATCTGCAAACTTCCCTTTCTTACTCAAATAACCATTGGTTGCTTAAATCCCCTCCTCTCATGCCTCTGCTTTGGTTAAAGCTTCTTTCCCTTCTATACAAACTCCTGTCCCCCAAAACCTCCTGCGTAGCTAATACATTTAATTCTGTCTTATCTCATTCTTGAGTTAACCCTGAACCCCATCCCCCCCACATCTATTCCAGCTCTGTGCATAGAACCAGAGGCAGTCCAGGGAAAATACCACAAGGGCTTGAGACCTAAGCCCCTTTTTGTAGCAATCTAACTCATTTTCAGGACCTCTATCCTATACTTTCCAAATACTTTGAATTTCCCCAGTGCTCCTGACTAAAAGCCTGCTTCAGGTGTCTTCCAAGATAAGAAATCTGGGCACCCATGTATCCAGTTATGGAATCCCCTATTGATGCATGCCATGTATAAAAGCTGCAGCTATGGCTGTGAGATAACTGCTCCATGTTATATCTCCTTTTCTCCATTCCATCTTGATCCCCTCCCATCACAGGAGCAGCTTTGTCAATTGGAGGGCCAGGGCAGGCAGTTGTGGTCCTAAGGAATCCTACCTCGAGCCTTTGTTTCTGCAGCATTAACTTCTCGAAGTTGTAGCAGAGTTCCAAGGGCCAAGGGCTGCTAGCCTGTGGAGCAAACATAAGCACTGGATCATGAGGAAAGTCATCATGCAGTCTGTTCTCTGCAGTGGCTTGCTCCTGTTTTTTCCACTGCATACAGAGGGCCACATGAGCTTCGCTCTCCCAGAATGACTGACAGAGAAGGACAAGTTTCTGACAGAACAGGGCAAATTGCTTCTTTCCAGGGGAAGGGAGAGCTGGGGGTTTCTTCATTCCCTTTCCTGATAACATGTCATGTGTGCATCTACCATCTATCACCATAGGGATATTTTTATGTTTCTACATTTGCAAAGTACCAACCCTCCCTCCACAAAAGTAGATCACCACTTCCAAGTTGTTCTCTGCATACTCTTGGCTTAGCCCAGCATTCTCTTGGGCCACAATATTTTGCAGTCATTTCTCATCCCATTGTGCCAGCATTAAGCAGTTCCTATTATTTTAAAAAGCTAATAATATTTTTACAAGCTATGTAGAAATCTACTGATTAAGCTATTTGGTCTTACAATGAAATGAAACCTTTCCTTTGCAGCAATCTCCTACTCACCCAGTGTGAAATGAAAAGAGAGTCCTCTGGGTTGGAAAATTTGCTATGGAGAGGGATCATGTCAATAAAAAATTCTGCCTAATGTTTAACCATCAGCTACTAATATGATGTTTGTTTAGTATGATTGGATTAGAAAGTACCAGGGACCAAAGACTAAGGTATTTTTAAGTAGGTCACAACTGCACTATAGGCCATGCCATTTAAAAAGCTAAGTAATCCCTGTACCATAAGGGTCTGAAATAAAGCCAGTCTGTCTGTCTGGCATCAGGTGCTGGATTTATAGCACACTTGGTAGGATTTTTATGGAAATCTACAAAATTTCCAAGCACACTAGCATCCACAAGGAACAGTCCCCAGCAGACAGCAAACAGAAGGCTACATGACAGCAGTTACCTGTACATGAAAAGTATTTGCATGATGGTAACTGCACAGTAAGGGTTCAAACTTCAGATGAGCCCACTGGGCACCCTGGAACTGGGAAACCTGAAAAGTAGCCATATTCACAGCCCCAATCTAGGGCTAGTCAGACCATGCAGAGCTGCTCTAAATTAAACTACTCGGTTCCCCTAGGAGCCATCTGTCAGCCGGAGACAACTAGAGTGCAATGGCATTTCCTTAGGGGTATCACAGTGTTGTCACCTCCCAGAAGTCTGGTAAGTCCATGAAGAGATGGCCCAGGGGCTGGCAAGGCCAACAGGAGGGCAGTGCAAATCATGCAGTTCCAATGGGCTCCCACCTGGTCAGGATCCCATGGCATTAGTTTGTTTCACAAGTGAAACCATGAAATCATTATAATCGTGGTCTGTCGCAAGGCTGACAAAACAGATATCAATCTCGAAGTCTAAGACTTCAAAAATTCAAATTTTAATAAGCTCAGGTCACTAGTAGAGAATGCCCTGAGAGACCAAGGACCACAGGTAAAGGGAGCATGAGAAGAATGGTCATTCCTTAAGGATGCAATCCTTAAGGCTCAGCGAAAATCCATTCCCTTAAGGAGAAAAAAGTAGCAGAAGGGTCAAAAAAAAACCCAAACCCCTCTTAAGTAGGGAAGTTGCAGCCTTCCTCCAGAAAAAGAAAGGGGCATACAAACAATGGAAGCTTGGGACATCCTCTAAGGAAGACTACTTGAAAATGGCCCACACTTGTGGAAACAGATTAGGCAAGCTAAGGCAGAAACCAAACTAAAACTAGCTATAACGATCAAGGACAAAAAGAAGTCCTTCTTTAGCTACATAGGGAGTAAAAGGAAAACTAATGGGAGTGTGGGGCCACTGGTCAATGCCTCAAGATATCTGGTCACTACCACTCAGGAAAAAACAGAACTCCTAAACGACTGCTTTGCCTTGGTCTTTCACAAGATCAAGGGGAACATGCCAGATAAGGCAAAGAATAAGCAGGGCAGGATTGACACCATTCCCATCATTGCCATAGAACTGGTGTACGATCAATTAAAGAAATTAGACATATATAAACCAGCAGGACCAGATGAACTCCACCCAAGAGTCCTGCAAGAGTTGGCCAAAGTAACTGCAGAGCCCTTGGCAAAGGTCTTTCAAAAATCATGGGCCTCTGGAGAAATCCCAGAGGACTGGAAAAGGGCCAATGCTGTGCCCATCTTCAAGAAGGGGAAGAGTGAAGACCTTGGAAACTACAGGCCAATTAGCTTAAATTCTATTCCAGGGAAAAATCCTAGAAACATTCATCAAAGAGGCTATATGTGACAAACTTGCAGAAGGCATAATACTGAATGACAGCCAGCACGGCTTTGTCACAGGCAGGTCTTGTCTGACCAACCTCATTTCTTTCTATGATTAGGTGACTCATCACCTGGATGAGAGAAAAGCAGTTGACATCATATACTTCATCTTCCAAAAAGCCTTTGACCTGGTATCCCATGAAGTACCGATCCGAAAACTGGAAGAGATTGGGCTCAACTGCAGGACTGTCAAGTAGGTGCAAAACTGGTTGCAGGGTAGGACACAGAGTCCAAATGAATGGATCAGTGTCGTCCTGGAAAGACATGGGAAGCGGTGTACCACAGGGGTCGGTACTTGGCCTAGTGCTGTTCAATATCTTCATCAATGACCTGGATGAGGGGGTGAAATGCCCATTGGCCAAGTTCACGGACGACACCAAGATATGTGGTTCTGCGGACACACCCGCAGATAGGCTGCAAATACAAGCAGGCCTAGACAGGCTGGCATGTTGGGCAGAACGGAACCAGATGAGGTTCAACATGGAAAAATGCGAAGTGCTGCATCTGGGAAGGAAGAACCCCTAGCTAGCACACCTACAGGCTGGGCATCGCTAACCTGACCAACACTACAAATGAAAGGGATCTGGGGGTAACAATAGACCCCAAGATGAATATGAGCCGGCAATGCGACGCAGTAGCTGCTAGGGCCAATAAAGCTGTAGCATGCATCAATCGATGCATCTCCAGTAAATCCAAAGAAGTGATTCTCCCGCTTTACTCAACATTGGTGTGGCCACAGCTGGAGTATTGCATCCAGTTCTGGGCGCTGCACTTCAACAAGCATGTACTAAAGCTTGAGAGGGTCCAGAGAAGGGCCACCCGTATGATCAGGGACTTGCATGGCAAGCCATACGAGGAGAGGCTGAGGGATCTCAGACTGTTCAGCCTAAACAAAAGAAGCCTGAGAGGGGACCCGATTGCAGCTTACCACTATATCAGAGGTGTATATCAGGTGCTCGGTGAACAACTGTTCACCAGGGTGCCTTGTGGGAAAACTAGAAACAATGGCCACAAACTCCTGGAAGATAGTTTCAGGCTGAACATTAGGAAAAACCTCTTTACAACTAGGGTGTCCAGACTATGGAACTAGCTCCCCACAGAGGTGGTGCAATCATCTACCCTAGAGGTCTTCAAGAGAAGACTGGACAGTCACCTGGCTGGGGTCATCTGACCCCAGATGTCTTTCCTGCTTATGCAGGGGGCGGGACCCGATGATCCCTTGGGGTCCCTTCCAGCCCTATGATTCTATGATTCTAGGCACTAGCAGGTGGCAATTTCACAGCCCAACACTGAACCTTTGTACAGGGCCCCAGAAGGTGAACCTGCCTGAGGGAGCTACTTATGGAAGCCCGACAGGACACTGGGGACATCCGCTACCTTTCCAGACACTTTGCACCCCAGAAGCAAAACTAATTGGCCAAAGCAAGGTACAGGATTTATCTCTTCTGGTTTCAAATAGCATATAAAATGCCCTACACACTGTACAAAGAGACACGGAGCTTCCAGCTCTCCAGGCTCTCTTGAGTGAGTAAGCAAAGCAAGCAAACTCTTGCCTGGCAGAGAATTCAATATTTAGGGTTTTTCCTGTAATATACTGTGTGTGTGTGCAGGGTGATGCTTCCTCCAGTCTGTTTACCATCATTGGCACATTTCTGTGTTATTCATGCAGGAAACAAAAATATATTTTTCTTCAACTAAAGTAGTTTAAAAAAAAAAAAAATCACTGTAGCCGCTAGCTGACTATATAAATCACCCACTCAGTGCCTCAGGAGCTTTGAGACCTTCTGCTTCCATGGAGGCACAAACCAGGTGCAGAAATCTTCACCTCCTACCTTCTTCCCAGGACTGTAGACTGTAGGAAAATAAAAATATCCCCCCGTACCCCTTCACTTCTTCCCTGTCCCCTGTCATTCTGCAAGCCCACACAGCACATCATTATGTATTTGCTTTTGATTTCTATTCAAAGAAGCCTTCCTCCTAGGCTCTGAGCACTCTGGCAGTTATTAAAACCACTAGCTAGGGAACACCAGCAATTGATTTTAACCTTGTGCCAGTCAATGAACTTGTCCAGGCACAAGCCTTAGCCCACTCAAAATGCTCACAGCCTAAGCAGTGCATCCCCATGTCTGCAAACCCTAGGACAGAGGCACACACTCCAAAGGCCAGGGCTCCTCACCAAGAACTTGACTTCAAGTTGGCCCTGCTCCAACTCAGGAGTTGGAGCTCCAACTCAGGTGGCGGTCACCTAAGGAGAATGGCACACAGGGAAATGCTGCAAATCCCTGGACATCATTCTCCTGTTGTACTCGGCCTTGGTGAGGCGCAGCTAGACTACTGCATCCAGTTTTGGGCTCCACAATTCAAAGAGGATGTGGAGAAGCTTGAGAGAGTCCAGAAAAGAGCCACGCTCATGATCAGAGGTCAAGAAAATAGACTTTACAACAACAGGCCGAGAGCTATGGGGCTCTTTAGCCTGGAAAAGCTCAGGGGCAATCTGATGACCACCTATAAGTTTATAAGGGGTGTTCACCAGAATCTAGGGGAACGATTCTTCACCAGAGCACCCCAAGGGATGACAAGGTCAAACAGTTATAAACTACTGCAAGACCATTTCAGGCTGCCCATATGGCAGAATTTCTTTATTGTCTGAGCC